TAGATAGATAGATAGATAGATAGATAGATAGATAGATAGATAGATAGATAGATAGATAGATAGATAGATAGATAGATAGATAGATAGTTTTTAAAAAGCACAGTCCGCATGTAGCATCTATACATCCCAAGTGCTGTAAATTGACCTGGAAAAATCCTTTCATATATCTCAAATCGACAGTTGGGTTAGAATTTATGCATTGTTGCTTTAAAAGGTAAATTAAAAACATAAGGCATTTATATAAAACATTTATGTATAAAGTATTGTTTTCTTCATCGTAAAGGCAAATAAATAATTTAGGTAATTCTACATTTTCTAAGGAAATGTGAAAATATAACCTGACCTATTGTCTGTCTGAGTGTTAAAGGTTTTAAATAGAGCATAAAAACATGGTTGCTACTGAGGTTGGATTACAGTTTTGAAAAGTTGTCTCATTTAATCCAAAATATCAACAAACATCGTTAAAGGAGCACAAAGCGAGATCGAGGCTTCTCATGAGAATACATATGTTTGAAATAGGCAACTGTTGGTGTGAACAATCACAACAGTTTAATGAAGATGATAAAATAATGTCCTATTTCATTTTTGGGTTAAGATGGAATAAAGAAGAATAAATATAATGGAGGCACAGTGGAGTCATTGTTTATTTTCTTGCTTCAAAAATATTCTCTTTTACAAAGATGCATGCTCAAAGAAAATTTCTTTTGAAAACTGGCTGTAGGTTCTGACGAGTTTAGAATTAGTTGTGTTCTTGTAGAGCGGTGGTTAGTCATCTGCCCTCCTTCCTTTGCCCTGTCTGCAAGCACTGACCATCTTGTTTTTTTGGGCAGTCCAGGTAGGGTTGCATTCCTGGAAAAGGAACGCACTCTTAAAATCTTATGTAACAAATACCCATCACCTGATACGTTGAAATCCAAAAAGCATTAACATTTATCCAGCTGGGAGTTGGCAGTTATAAATGAAAATGGTGATGTGATCAAAAAGCACATTGGCATAATAATAGAGCACACAGTGTATGCTCTCAGTTTAAGCTAATCATACACTACTTCCATATAGTATCTCATGCAAACCAATACCTTAAATGGTTCTTAAATTGTTAACATTTTGAATATCACTGTAATACAGCTAGTGCAGTATCAACTTCAGACAAACCCCTAAATAAAAAAAATCAAAGGAATAACATTTTTAACTAAAGAAACAAGTATCACATGTACAAACCTTCCTTATTTAAAGGCATTGTAATGATGGGTTATGTCCCAGTTATGAAACTGGATAAAGACCCTAAATAAAACATGCAGATTGTCCGACAAATTCATACGGGTCTGTTTTATCATGTTTTAATGTTGTTGCACAATCCATCCAAGAAAGCAAAAATAATTGACTCTAACACAATACACCTAGTGTTACATCCCAGGCATGTTTCTGATCCTCAGTCATTAACTAATGCTAGTAATTAGCAAATTTGCCCTTATTATATTCAGGGCAGGAACCAGTTTTAATTGAACAGATTTTTGTTTTAGAAAAGAAAAGGGGGGGAAAAAATCACCCTTTTCTCCATTAGATTGCATTGATGAGGAGGACAAAAACACTATTGTTCCTGTGGAGATTGTAGAGGCAGTGTAAAGAGCTGGCAGAGTGTTGGCACAGTGAGTTTACATCCATGTGTGTTCATATAAATGTGAGGGAGAGGAGGGGAAGGGAGCAGCTCTTTGCAGCAGGTTGTTTTGTTGTGGCCCCATGGCCAGCAGATGTCTTGATGCTCCTGGGCATGGAGCACCTCTCTTCTGAGTTTCCTCTCCAATTGACTCATTTACCCACAAAGAAGACTGTTTTGTTCCCTTCCCACATAATGGGCTAATTACTATTTTAATGATTCTGAATATCCTTCTCTCCTCTGTAGCTCTTTGTTTTCAGGCTGCATTTGGATTTTATGGCTATCCTAGGCACAAAAAAAAACTACCTTATAGGTAACCACACAGGTTAGGTCTATATATTAGCTAATATTTCTATTTTAATTTACTGTTAAAACTAAGTATATATAAATATATATATATATATATATATATATATATATATATATATATATATATATATNTATATATATATATATATATATATATATATATATATATATATATATATGAATATACTTGATAAATAAATTTAGAATAATTTGATAGAATTTACTGCTTTGATAGGAGACAAATCTCTGCAGGAGTTCATAATGGTATGCTTTTTAATTACAGCCAAAATCTTACAGTATTTAATTGCTTCTAAAAGATTACAGAGCTACTAGACTATTATCTATTTAATAAACGTTTTAGTTAGAATAAAAATTATGTTTGTAGTAGTTGTTAATTCTCACTGAAGTCAAAATAGGTGGTTATGATAGAAAAAATGAATCATTCACATCTTTTAATTCAGAACTCAGAATCAAGTTTTATTTCCAAGTATGTTTGCACTTAGAAAGAATTTGACTTTGGTGTTGATGGTGCAGACAAATTAGATATATATACAGAATACAGGATCTATATTTATACATAATATAAAACACATAATATACAATATATAGTACTATGTGTGTAGTAATATGTAGTTATGTACTATAAACACAGTAGGCTGTGTGTTAATTTAATGCAGGAGGTCTGGAGATGCTACGTTGGTGTAGCTTCAGGGTCCTGATAAGGGGAGGGAGAGAGGCAGTGACAGTGTCACGGGGGTCTCTGGGCCTTGTTGATAAGGCTGTTAGCAGATGAAAAGAAACTGTTCATGTGGCGAGAGGTTTTTGTCCTGATGGACAGCAGCCTCCTGCCAGAGGGAAGTGACTTAAATAGTTGTGGCCGAGGTGCAAGGGATCAGCCACAATCCTCCCTGCACCCCTCAGAGTCCTGGAGATCCTGGA